GAGATTTAAGACATTTGAGGAAAACATTGATTAAATCTGCCAATGAAATGAATGTGTTTGGCGAGTGACCTAATTAGTGTATACTTGGTTCTTTTTCACTGCACTGCTTACCACTAATTGCTGTTCTGCTGGTCTTCTCCTGACAAGTAAGAAAAAACAAGGATGAGGGATTTGTTGAGGAAATAGTGACATTCAGTTTTAATTCATTTGAACCTGCTGCCAAGCTTAATTACGGAGCTGAGAAACGGAGACCAGGAGGCCCCCAGCCGTTCAGGTTATAGGAGGCAGAGATGTTYAGTGTCTGCCTGTGCATTCGGTAGCACTTGCCGCAGCCAACTATAAACTTGGGCTTGCTGATGCTTAGCTGTTTGCTTTCCCCCACAGGTACAAAATCGCAGTTTTTGTTCCTTAAATTTAATTATTTGGCTCTCATGGCATGAGGCCAAAGCAAAATTACAGACATTTTATTTCTTAGAAGAAAGGTTTAACACTTTTATCTAGATGGTCTTGCCCTGGGTCTTCTCTATTTGTTTGTGTTTTTATTTACAAGGTAATAATATGTGTCATTCTGGAAAAAAACAAAAAAAGACACCCCCCCCCCCACCAAATTAGAGATACAGAACTATATATTGAAGCACTGAAGCACCTAAGACCTCTTCAGTAAGTACACGTGGGCTAAGGGACCTTGGTTAGTGGCAAACTCCGTTCCTGACTCTCTAAGCAGTGGGAGGCAATGCAGTTTTCCCTGGATGCGTTTTGGGCTCTTAAAGGAAAAGGGCAAGAAGCTTTGTAAAAAAGCAGGGGCAAATACTTTTGGTTTTTGTTTCCTGTGTCRGCAGTAGATTGTTGTGCGTAGAGTCTAGAGGTCCCTGTTTAGAATCGCAGTGCATTCTTCATTCTTCATCATGCATTCTTCATCGTGTCCTGCACACACACACACACAAAAAAAAAAGGATGAAGGAATCCACAGACCAGAATGTTTACAGGGCAGCGCACCAAAATAAAAAAAAGGAGAGAAAGAGAGAGAAAAGGGCTGGAATTTGGAATTTGAGGATAGAGGTGGGTGGGGTYTGCACTTGTTTTTAGAAGGAGAAGAAATGCAGACATTTTCCTAGAGCAGCGATGTCCAGTTGGCCGGAACGTGCCCCATGGGGCCCTTCCAGCCTTTTCCCGGGAGCAGCCAGGGAAGAGCTGATGGAGCCGYGAGCCACGCGCAGCCTGGAGCACCTCGCAGCCCACGGCCGGCGCTGGGGAGCACTCAGGGCCCTTGGGGAGCCCCTTGGCCCATGGGCAGAGCGGGCAGGGAGGTCCCAGGACCCAGCACCAGCTTCTGGGATCACTAACATTGATCTATTCAGAGGAGTCAAAAAAAAAAAAAAAATTAAAAAGTCAAAGCAAACCCCACCAAAAGCCCCACACTACCCCACACTACTTTTGTTAGTGCTTGAGACCAGAAAGACAAAAAAACGAAGCAAGATTGTAAACAAATGAAATATGCCAGCGTGGGTCATCAACACAGGCTGTAAACATCTAAATGGAAGAACATAAACTCTCAAAAAAACCCAGCAGGCTTTTCTTTCTTTTTTTTTTTTTTTTTTTTTTTTCCTCTCTCTCTGTTATATAGCACTGCAAAGTTCTTGTAAGGATACTTGAGTGCTGCAGCAGCCTGGGAACTTGGCTCCCCTCGCAGCAGATGGATGTGCTCTGGACGGGTGCTCGGCCACGGAGCGACTCTGTCCGGCTGTTGTGTATGCGCTGGGGAGAGGGGCTGCCGGGGGGAGGCCAGAAGGATCCTTGGCATGGGAATGAACCTTGGGAAAGGAAAGAGAGCAGCTTTGCAGTAGTTTGAGTGCTAGAATGCATAATAGGCAACTAAAGATGCAAGGGGCTTTGTCTTGAGACACGCACTGAATATAATGGGAAAATACGGTTTTAGCGCGACTATGTGTGGCTTTAAATATTACAGACTAATGTAAATCTGCAGTAATTCAGTGTATTAGGTGTACCTGCTGTCTATGCTAAAACACCAGATTATAGCCTTATGCATTCCACTTTGTATGTGCAAGTAATACTAACTTAGATGTTCTTGCAGTGCTGTCTGGAAAGTCATATTAAAAATCTTTTCCCTTGTATTGGTGCATACATGAACCCCATCCTGTACACTGATAGATATCAAAATCTACCTCTATTATGTGCTTTTGATGTCAGTAGTAAAACTTGGTTTTTGCACTGTCATCTCCTCATTTTCAGATGTGAGCACAGTGAGAAATAAAAAGAAATGCAATCTCTGGAGGAGAGCATCTTGTCCTGGCTCCTCCCGCTCCCCCACCAAATTATTCTGAGTGCGTTCCAAGCTCTCCCATGTCTTGGAGATTTAGTGATGCTGTCCGACTTCCCAGGGCATTTCAGGTTTCCCATTTGGCAGCTCTGCCTTCTTGTCAGGATCTCTAGCGTCTMAAGACTGAAGCGGTGTCTAATGGCAGCTCCTCCTGCCTCCCAGGAGCTCTTCTCCCAGCGGGCAAAGACACCGCAGAAATCCCGGGAAGACTCTTGCTCTCTTGGAGGAGTGTTGTTTGGTTCAAAGCAGCATAAACTGCACAGTTCCTCAGCAGTGAGGAGCTTTGCGAGCGCTGCAAAGCAAACTGTGGTGGGGAGCAAGCTGATTTCAGAACAACGTGCTGAGCAGAAAAGGAAAAAAGAAAATGCCAATGGGGGAGCGCTGGGTAGGTAAAGCGAAAAGCAGCCCCTGCGAACTGCAGTGAGCACTGACCAAACTCCAGTGCCCGCTTTCATGTGAGTATTTGTTGGACAGACAGCCTCTAAGCTCAGCTGAGCCGGTGGTTTCGTTTGTAATGAGGGCCAATAGCCTATATCCCCCACCAAAGTAAAATACAAAAGCCAGGAAAGAAGAGAATGGAGAGGCCCAGGTCTTGACCTTTTTATCAAAATAGTTATTTTCTGTTATTTTCCTTCTCCTGAAGAACATCAGCATTTTCTTGAGAAACCTTAGCTTTTCTTTATTATTTTTCATGTTTAAAAATTGACAAATAAGATAGATTTAAGCCTTGAAAAAAAAAGTCCATGAATGCAAAATTCCTTCACTATTTGGCTAACACCTGCCTACACACCAAAATAATCACAGAATCACAGAATCACAGAATATTTAAGGTTGGAAGGGACCTCTACAGATCATCTAGTCCAACCTTCTTGCTCAAGCAGGGACACCTAGAGCATGTGGCACAGGGTGGCATCCAGGCGGGTTTTGAAGACCTCCAGAGTAGGAGACTCCACAACCTCCCTGGGCAGCCTGTTCCACTGCTCTGTCACCCTCACAGTGAAGAAGTTCCTCCTCACCTGGAGAYGGAACTTCCTGTGCTCCGGCTTATAGCCATTGCCCCTCGTCCTGTCGCTGGCCACCAGTGAAAACAGCCTGTCCCCTTCCTCCCTGCATTCTCCYTTCCTGAACTTATACATATTAATCATATCCCCTCTGAGCCTTCTCTTCTCCAGAGAAAACAGGCCCAGCTCACAGCCTCTCCTCATACGAGAGATGTTCCATTCCCTTAATCATCCTGGTTGCTCTTCTCTGGACCCTCTCTAGGAGCTCCACATCCTTCTTAAACTGGGGAGCCCAGAACTGCACACAGTACTCCAGGTGCGGCCTCACCAGAGCTGAGTAGAGGGGCAGAATCACCTTCCTTGACCTGCTGGCAACACTCCTCCTGATGCAGCCAGGATCCCAGTGGCCTTCTTGGCCACGAGGGCACTGCTCACTCATGGTTAACTTAGTGTCAACCAGGACTCCCAGGTCCCTCTCTGTGGAGGTGCTTTCCAGCAGGTCGACCCCTAATCTGTCCTGGTGCCTGKGGTTATTCCTCCCCAGGTGCAGGACCCTGCACTTGTCCTTATTGAACCTCATGAGGTTCCTCTCTGCCCAACTCACCAGCCTGTCCAGGTCCCTCTGGATGGCAGCACATAATAATCAAAGATGTTTGTAACGTGGGGGCAAGGTGGTCACAAACACACTGTTATGCACAGATCTGGTGCACAGAGGAARGCTGAGGCCTCCCACGAACGGGAAGAAGGGCTGGCAAGAGAAATAAAAACGGATACGGCAGGAAAGCAGATCTGCGGTCGTGTCCTGTATTCTGTGTATTGACCTAGTAAATGGAGATGTCTGCCAAGGAGCTGCCCTGCTATAAATATGCTAGTGCTAATATTATTAAAGCCTTGAGGCAGTTGAGTTTCATCCCGACGGCTTCCAGGGGGGGAATGCGAAGGGGTGACCTGCGGCTATAGCTTGTCCAAGCAGCACGTGCCTGCCTGCGCCCTAATGGGATTTTCAAAGGGTTCCAGGTTGCTGGGGTGGATTTTGAGGCATTTAGGTGCCTAAATAAGCGTTTGGTGACATTTTTGCATCTACTTAGCTCTGCTGAGATCTTCCTGAGCAAGGCTTTTAAACGTTGTTGAAGATGAGAAATGGGGAAGCGCTTAGAATTTTTGAAAAGTCCATTTTGTGCCTTTCTTTTTCCTCCTTTGCATCTTTAGGTAAATGAAAATGCTTCAGGAGATGGGCCCCCCATTCTGTTGATACACAGCAGGGGCTTAACCCCATTTGCCTTGCTTGAACCTACCGTGCTTATTAAAGGAAGCAATGGTGAGGGGTAGAGTGAGAGCAGTTAAGAAGCACGTGGCTGATTAGAAATTGAACTATTGCAAATACTGGGAGTAGAAATCCACCTGAAAGCCGATGAAATCCAGTCCTGAGATCCAGCCTCACCAGGCTGATGTTCAGATAATACCCTGAGCATCTCCCCATGGGGACCCACTCTCACTGCAATGGAGATGAAGGCAAGGTGGTGTAACTGGGTTGTGACTTTGCTGTCTTATCGTTATCTAGAGCTATCTGGCAGGCAAACAAAGTGTTTATGCACACACACACACACACACGTACACACACACACAGATATTAATGAAATTGCCTATTCTTTATTTTTTAGGTTACGGTTTTGTAGATTTTGACAGTCCGGCAGCAGCACAGAAAGCAGTAGCATCTCTCAAAGCAAATGGCGTGCAGGCCCAGATGGCAAAGGTAAGAAAACCCACGTTGTTAGAGGCTTCTCTGAGCTGCTCCAAGACTCCATTTTGTGTCTCTTTTCCTTAGCTTTTTGGATTGTTTGTTTCATTTTTTGTTGTTGTTCCTTTGGCTCCGCTGGCATATTCATCCTGTGGCTCCTGTGTGTGTTTCTGCCGAGCTGTGTATCGTGCAATGGGCTCTGGTCTCTCCCTCTCTCCCTCTCCCTGGAGAGATTTTTAAGATCCGTGTGCCGGAGTCATGGAGCAATTGGAAATGCCTTTGTGCTGAGYGCATCGGGAAGGAATTGCGTTTGCGTTGCCCGGAGTAGTCTTCATTTGGTTTCTTTGCTATGGATTAGCTGCTCCTTTCTTAGCCGCCTGTTGGGTTTGTCCGAAGGAGTGATTGACTGAACGCAAGGAAGGTTTGTTGTACTGCCTCATTCTAGCTTTGCCTGTCTTCCTAAAGGCATAAATGGGATTGTAGCGGGCTGCTTGGAAGTGTATTTTGCTGGAGAGTCTCTCTGGAGGCCACTGGAGTGTATAGGTCAGAGAAACTGGGAGGGTTATGCCTTAAATCTGCCAGCGAGCATGTGGTGAGGTGAAATACCCCCTTGCTGGAGCTGTCCTGTGGCACCAAGTGAAGGGACTGATGGGGAGAGCGGGTAACAGTGAATGTTCATCACGTGCTCTTGTTGCTTCCTTTGGGAAGGCGAAATTGTGTGTCTTCGGGCCCTAGATCCCTTTGGTTCGTGGAGCTAGCTGTGATTATTTCAAAACACCTTACATACCATCATGATGAGACCATAATATTGCCAGATTTCCCCTCAGAAACAAACAATGCATATCTAGATTCTGAAGCGTTAAGAACAAATAATTTAGAGAGTGCTCAACTACATGTACCACTATACCAGCTGATAACTCATCACCTCGTTTGAACATTCTCCTTGAAAGGAATGCTGCTGATTTGAAACTTTGCATTTTTCAGCAATACCCTACTCAAAGYTGCCAAAGGAAAAAGTATCCTCTGTGATAAATGAGGCTCTTTTGCCTTGAACTTCACCCACTGTGCCTTAAAGTAACTGGCTACGATTCCCTGTCATTCTGTTTAACAGCACCCCACAATGCAAGCTATGCTGTTTTATTGGCTCTTAGTTTTTATTGACATGTGGTGATAAAATATATTTGCTTCAAATGGGTAAAAGATGGCAAGCCAGAGAATCTGAACACCTACTAAGGATCATGTTATTTTATTTCTCTGATATACTCCATCTCTTTTTTAAAATATAGGCAATTTGATGCATTAGTCAACTTGCAAAAAAGAAACCCAAGACACAAGATACATTCTGTGCTACTGGTTGATCTGGAATAGCTATTTCTTGGAAGGGGTAAATCTGTAACTTCGTAAATCTATAAAGCTATAGATTTAAAGCTAGAGATCTAAAGTTAGAGATTTAGAGATGGCATGATATTTGGTGCTCTGCAGACATAGGTCTTGTCCTTCAGAACCATGAGAGTCACCTCTGTGCTTGCGTGTGTGGAAATAACCAAAGGGGAAGCTGACTTAAATACAGGATTTTTGATTGTCCAATATTTTGGGGTCTCATTCTCATCTATGGCTGATGGCTTTAGAGTGAGAAAAGCTGTGCCAGTGGCTGAGGTTTTTGTTCTGGTGGATTTGTGGCTGGAGTAATGTTTCCCCCTTCCTGGTCTAGAGGAGGCTGGTGCTTACGCCTTTGTTTGTGTAAGGCCAACTATATTTTTAATATTTAGCCATGGTGCCTGGAATCTTGCATAGGTTCTTTTTAGTGTGCTTGATAATTCAAGATAAATATACAACTGGCTTTTCCTATCTCTGCAAAAATCAAAGTATTTAGAGAAACTGCGATTCAAAGGAAATTAAGACGACTGCACACAAAGTACATAGCGTTGCTGAGAAGGCAGGGGCCTGGGAAAGCAGATCGGTCTGGACAAGCACGTTAGCTCTTGGAAGCCACGTTGCATAACAGGACAAAAAGACAATGTTATCTGCCAGGGTCTGAATTAACAGCGCGGGCTCCGAAAAGGGATGAGGAAAGAGGAGGAAGAAGGATTTAGTCTCTGCTTCTGGAAAATATATCCCCAACAGCTGGATTTCAAGAAGTGCTTTAAATAGTGAGGAATGGTAGCTATCAGATACAAAGAAAGAAAAAAGAATACGCCTGAAAAAGTTACCTTGACCTTTAGCATGTCACCATGCTTATTAATTCCTTCAAAAATAGAGTAGTGCAAGGTATTTTCTGCTCTTCATTCTGCAAGGGTGACATTCAACCTTGTGCGGGGTTCACGCTGCACCAGGACAAAAGACAAGACAGTGCTTGACATGAGTGGAGCGTTGCCATTTTTACTTATAACCCCGTATTTCTAGCCAGAGGTTACACCCACACCTAAGCAGAGGCCGCCTCTGTGTTCAGCAAACGTGAAAACTCTGAGGCCAGTCGGGGAGGCTTCGGAGTAACGGTGAGAGGGGCTGGGGAGCGGTGGAGCCGAGCGCTGCTCTCCTCCAGCTGAGAGCAAAAGCACGTCGAAATGTCAGCGCGCTTCGTGATGTGTTCCTGGAGAGAAGGCTTAGGCGGAAAGAGAGGTTCTTTCTCAGTTTTAGCACAATATAATTTTTCTCACAGAAATCCAGGAATCTTCTTTGAAAAACAAAAAGCAGAGCTGAACCCCCACCCATGCTGGCTAGCAGAAATGTCTTGTGGACACTTGAGTAAAAGTATACTCGCTTTATTGATGCTTAAACCCAGCTGCCTCCCTCGTTTTTATAGCACTTGGACACCCTCTTGGCTGCTTTTGTTTCGTGCTGCTGCCTCGGGAAGAAGGTTGAGCGCCGATGGATCCCGGCCTTAAGCTCCAGCGCTGCTGAAAAGCCTCGTGTACCACATAACCCAACACAGAGAAAAACAACATGAGACGTGCGGCAGGATCCCACTTTGTTCCCTTGGATGCTGCTCAGTCCCAGGCAAAGTGGCCGAGCAGGCGGGAAACACGGATAAGGGACCAACGGGTGCCCAACTTGGGCCTGTTTATGTCACTCTGGGTTGCCCACCGTTTTCAGAAGGGCTCATTTACGGTTTTATTTATTTATTTAGGACAGTTAATGCTTAGGGAGCTGCTGAGGAGCAGGTTCCCAGCTGGCCTGGCTCCTTGTGCTGAATACTTCCTGGTTGCCATTGGAAACACGTCYGTTATACGGATTCATTTGCATCTATACAGCACCTACTCGCCAGGCGCCTTCTTGTGTCCAGGTGGTTTTTTTTTCCCCTTTCCTTTTTTTTTCCCTTTTCATTTTTCCCCCCTACTAAAAATGGCACAACGGACAAGCCATAAAATTGTCTCTCGGAAATTACTGATTTGTTTGTCTCAAGGTACATAGGGGTCACCCCGCGCCGTGCAGARAAGGCAGTGCTTTATGTGTGTGATTTATGTTTGGGCTTGCTTGTGTGCTCTTTTCCTGCCTTTTTACGTTTTTAGCAAAATGATATAGACAGAACATGGAAAATTAATAAGCAGAGTCTTGGTAATGTGTGAGTTGGCTAGCACAAGTAGGCGAGAAAGCTGACTACAACACATGAAAAACATATCAATGTTCTAGTAAAATCTGTAGCCAAATCTATTTTTGGCATTAGCAATATTCCTGTGCGCCGAATTACATATTCGTGATGAGAYTTCCTAGTCTGCTTCAAATGTAAACTTTTAATGATACCCTGGGGTTCCGGCTCATCTGAAAAATGGATAGAAGTTAGTTCTCTAAATAACCTTGAGGATCTGAATCAGTGTCAGTCATGAAATTGGTGGGCTGTGCACAGTGTAGGATCAGTGGACGTCTTCACACACCTTCTGGGGCCCTCTCTCCCTTCTTCTGTTGACAGTTTTAGTCCACTGGAGGAATATATACTGYGGAAGTTACAGCTAATACAGCTTCTGGCAAAAAGTGTGTAGAAGCTTCTCTAATATCTAGCAGTCCATCCAGAGTGTTGAAACAAATGCATTTACCACAGAAGTGTATTTAATCATACTGTTATACCCGCACACTTTTGAAGACCAGTAAATACGTTTGGTGATGCATGTCTTCTCTCCTCTGGGGTTTTCTTTTCATACGTCTAATGCAGTTAGACATCCTTAGCACCTGTGTCAGAAATGTGGGTATTGAAGAAGTATTTAATCAGTGTTGGCAGTTGTCTAAATCTAAGCAACATTTCTTGACTATTCTGCTGCAATAACTGCCATCCAGAGGGTAGAGTGATGGAGCTGGGTCTGGAACAGGATGGTCCCAATAGGTTCCGATGTGCATTGCTGGATGAGGGAATTGAAGGACACAAGAACGATTCTTGTATGATGTTCTTCTCAGCCCACCTTCATGCTGAAGCCTAAATCCAAGGAATGAGCACCAGCCAGGAGAATCATAGGAACATATACCTGTAGGTACATAGAACATAGAACTAAAGGACTGTAACTTAAAATGATAGCTGCAGAAAAATGGAAAGAATATCCAGTGAAAGCTCCTCCTAAAATATTTTTAATCTGAAAAATAAAAAATGAGCTAAAATAKGGCCTTTGCTCTGAACGTCTGATGCTCTGAATACCACAGGTTGCTTACTTCAATTCGTGGTTGAGATACCTGAAAATTTTGCCTAACCAAACTTCAGGATATTGATTGGTTGTGTATTCGAACTAGTGGATGGCAGCCTTATTGACTGCATTAACTTTGTTTTTTTCCCCTTTTGATGCTAGAGCAAGATTCTGTGATGTTGAGTTCAATATCGAAATATTCTGGCTTCATTTTAATGTCATTCTTTAATTATGTGCTTCCCCCCAGCAAACTGCTGTGTAAAGTTCAGTGTTTGTATTGCCTTTTCAAAACCATTTTCTTCGTTTGCCGTGGGAACACTGGCTGGCGACCCTCTGAAAAGAGCCTAGCCRACGAAGCTGGCCACATTCCACATCATTCCCTAACAAATCCCACATTCAGGATTGGGC